TGGTAGTAGTGACACAGTAGTGGTAGTAGTGGTGTCACAGTAGTAGTAATGGTGTCACAGTAGTGGTAGTGGTGTCACAGTAGTGGTAGCGGTGTCACAGTAGTGTTAGTAGTGTCACAGTAGTAGTAGTAGTGGTGTCACAGTAGTCGTAGTAGTGGTGTCACAGTAGTCGTAGTAGTGGTGTCACTGTAGTAGTAGTAGTGGTGTCACAGTAGTGGTAGTAGTGTCACAGTAGTAGTAGTAGTGGTGTCACAGTAGTAGTAGTGGTGGTGTCACAGTAGTAGTAGTAGTGGTGTCACAGTAGTGGTAGTAGTGTCACAGTAGTGGTAGTAGTGGTGTCACAGCAGTAGTAGTAGTAGTAGTGGTGTCACAGTAGTAGTAGTAGTGGTGTCACAGTAGTTGTAGTAGTGTCACAGTAGTAGTAGTAGTGGTGTCACAGTAGTGGTAGTGGTGTCACAGTAGTGGTAGTGGTGTCACAGTAGTGGTAGTAGTGTCACAGTAGTAGTAGTGGTGTCACAGTAGTGGTAGTAGTGTCACAGTAGTAGTGGTGTCACAGTAGTAGTAGTGTCACAGTAGTAGTAGTGGTGTCACAGTCGTGGTAGTAGTGGTGTCACAGTAGTGGTAGTGGTAGTAGTGTCACAGTAGTGGTAGTAGTGTCACAGTAGTGGTAGTAGTGTCACAGTAGTGGTAGTAGTGGTGTCACAGTAGTAGTAGTAGTGGTGTCACAGTAGTAGTAGTGGTGTCACAGTAGTAGTAGTAGTGGTGGTGTCACAGTAGTAGTAGTAGTGGTGTCACAGTAGTGGTAGTAGTGGTGACACAGTAGTAGTAGTGGTGTCACAGTAGTAGTAGTAGTGGTGTCACAGTAGTAGTAGTAGTGGTGTCACAGTAGTAGTAGTAGTGGTGTCACAGTAGTAGTAGTGGTGTCGCAGTAGTGGCAGTGGTGTCACAGTAGTGGTAGTGGTGTCACAGTAGTGGTAGTAGTGTCACAGTAGTAGTAGTGGTGTCACAGTAGTGGTAGTGGTGTCACAGTAGTGGTAGTGGTGTCACAGTAGTAGTAGTGGTGTCACAGTAGTGGTAGTAGTGTCACAGTAGTAGTGGTGTCACAGTAGTAGTAGTGTCACAGTAGTAGTAGTGGTGTCACAGTAGTGGTAGTGGTGTCACAGTAGTAGTAGTGTCACCGTAGTGGTAGTAGTAGTGGTGTCACAGTAGTAGTAGTAGTGGTGTCACAGTAGTAGTAGTAGTGGTGTCACAGTAGTAGTAGTGTCACAGTAGTAGTAGTGGTGTCACAGTAGTAGTAGTAGTGTCAAAGTAGTGGTAGTAGTGACACAGTAGTGGTAGTAGTGGTGTCACAGTAGTAGTAATGGTGTCACAGTAGTGGTAGTGGTGTCACAGTAGTGGTAGTGGTGTCACAGTAGTGTTAGTAGTGTCACAGTAGTAGTAGTGGTGTCACAGTAGTCGTAGTAGTGGTGTCACTGTAGTAGTAGTAGTGGTGTCACAGTAGTGATAGTGGTGTCACAGTAGTGGTAGTGGTGTCACAGTAGTAGCAGTAGTGGTGTCACAGTAGTAGTAGTGGTGGTGTCACAGTAGTAGTAGTGGTGGTGTCACAGTAGTAGTAGTAGTGGTGTCACAGTAGTTGTAGTAGTGTCACAGTAGTGGTAGTAGTGTCACAGTAGTGGTAGTAGTGGTGTCACAGCAGTAGTAGTAGTAGTGGTGTCACAGTAGTAGTAGTAGTAGTGGTGTCACAGTAGTGGTAGTAGTGTCACAGTAGTAGTAGTAGTGGTGTCACAGTAGTGGTAGTGGTGTCACAGTAGTGGTAGTGGTGTCACAGTAGTGGTAGTAGTGTCACAGTAGTAGTAGTGGTGTCACAGTAGTGGTAGTAGTGTCACAGTAGTAGTGGTGTCACAGTAGTAGTAGTGTCACAGTAGTAGTAGTGGTGTCACAGTCGTGGTAGTAGTGGTGTCACAGTAGTGGTAGTGGTAGTAGTGTCACAGTAGTGGTAGTAGTGTCACAGTAGTGGTAGTAGTGTCACAGTAGTGGTAGTAGTGGTGTCACAGTAGTAGTAGTAGTGGTGTCACAGTAGTAGTAGTGGTGTCACAGTAGTAGTAGTAGTGTTGGTGTCACAGTAGTAGTAGTAGTGGTGTCACAGTAGTGGTAGTAGTGGTGTCACAGTAGTGGTAGTAGTGGTGTCACAGTAGTGGTAGTGGTGTCACAGTAATAGTAGTAGTAGTGGTGGTGTCACAGTAGTAGTAGTAGTAGTGGTGTCACAGTAGTGGTAGTAGTGGTGACACAGTAGTAGTAGTGGTGTCACAGTAGTAGTAGTAGTGGTGTCACAGTAGTAGTAGTAGTGGTGTCACAGTAGTAGTAGTAGTGGTGTCACAGTAGTAGTAGTGGTGTCACAGTAGTAGTAGTAGTAGTGTCACAGTAGTAGTGACACAGTAGTAGTGACACAGTAGTAGTAGTGACACAGTAGTAGTAGCAGTAGTGTCACAGTAGTAGTGTCACAGTAGTAGTAGTGACACAGTCGTAGTAGTAGTGTCACAGCAGTAGTAGTGACACAGTAGTAGTGACACAGTCGTAGTGTTAGTGACACAGTAGTAGTAGTGACACAGTAGTAGTAGTGACACAGTAGTAGTAGTAACAGTCGTGGTAGTAGTAGTGTCACAGTAGTAGTAGTAGTGTCACAGTAGTAGTGACACAGTAGTAGTAGTGTCACAGTAGTAGTAGTAGTGTCACAGTAGTAGTAGTGTCACAGTAGTAGTAGTGTCACAGTATTAGTAGTGTCACAGTAGTAGTGACACAGTAGTAGTAGTAGTGACAGTTGTAGTAGTGACACAGTAGTAGTAGTAACACAATCGTAGTAGTAGTGTCACAGTAGTAGTAGTAGTGTCACAGTAGTAGTAGTGATACAGTAGCAGTAGTAGTGATACAGTAGCAGTAGTAGTGATGCAGTAGTAGTAGTAGTGTCACAGTAGTAGTAGAAGTAGTCTCACAGTAGTAGTAGAAGTAGTGTCACAGTAGTAGTAGTGACACAATCGTAGTAGTAGTGTCACAGTAGTAGTAGTAGTAGTGTCACAGTAGTAGTAGTCGTAGTGTAACAGTAGTAGTAGTCGTAGTGTCACAGTAGTAGTAGTGTCAAAGTAGTAGTAGTCGTAGTGTCACAGCAGTAGTAATGTCACAGTAGTAGTAGTGTCACAGTAGTAGTAGTGTCACAGTAGTAGTAGTAGTGACACAGTAGTAGTGTAGTAGTAGTAGTAGTGTCACAGTAGTAGTAGTGTCACAGTAGTAGTAGTAACACAGTAGTAGTAGTGGTAGTGACACAGTAGTAGTAGTGTCACAGTAGTAGTGTCACAGTAGTAGTAGTAGTGTCACAGTAGTAGTAGTGTCACAGTAGTAGTAGTGGTAGTGACACAGTAGTAGTAGTGTCACAGTAGTAGTAGTAGTGTCACAGTAGTAGTAGTAACACAGTAGTAGTAGTGGTAGTGACACAGTAGTAGTAGTAGTGTCACAGTAGTAGTAGTGTCACAGTAGTAGTAGTGTCACAGTAGTTGTAGTAGTAGTGTCACAGTAGTAGTAGTGTCACAGTAGTAGTAGTGTCACAGTAGTAGTAACACAGTAGTGGTAGTGACACAATAGTGGTAGTGTCACAGTAGTAGTAATAGTCGTGACACAGTAGTAGTAGTAGTGTCACAGTAGTAGTAGTGTCACAGTAGTAGTAGTGTCACAGTAGTAGTAGTGTCACAGTAGTAGTAGTGTCACAGTAGTAGTCGTGATACAATAGTAGTAGTGTCACAGTAGTAGTAGTAGTTTCACAGTAGTAGTAGTAGTGACACAGTAGTAGTAGTGTCACAGTAGTAGTAGTAATGATACAGTAGTAGTGACACAGTAGTAGTTGTGACACAGTAGTAATGGTAGTGTCACAGTAGTAGTAGTGTCACAGTAGTAGTGTCACAGTAGTAGTAGTAGTGACACAGTAGTAGTGACACAGTAGTAGTGACACAGTCGTAGTGGTAGTGACACAGTCGTAGTAGTAGTGTCACAGTAGTAGTAGTAGTGTCACAGTGGTAGTGACACAGTAGTAGTAGTGACACAGTAGTAGTAGTGTCACAGTAGTAGTAGTAGTAATGATACAGTAGTAGTAGTGTTACAGTAGTAGTGACACAGTGGTAGTGGTAGTGTCACAGTAGTAGTAGTGGTAGTGACACAGTCGTAGTGGTAGTGACACAGTCGTAGTTGTAGTGTCACAGTAGTAGTAGTGTCACAGTAGTTGTGACACAGTCGTAGTGGTAGTGACACAGTAGTAGTAGTGTCACAGTAGTAGTGTCACAGTAGTAGTAGTAGTGACACAGTAGTAGTAGTGTCACAGTAGTAGTAGTAGTAATGATACAGTAGTAGTAGTGTCACAGTAGTAGTGACACAATCGTAGTGGTAGTGACACAGTAGTAGTAGTGTCACAGTAGTAGTAGTGTCACAGTAGTAGTGACACAGTCGTAGTGGTAGTGACACTAGTAGTAGTGTCACAGTAGTAGTAGTAGTGTCACAGTAGTAGTGACACAGTCGTAGTGGTAGTGACACAGTAGTAGTAGTAGTGTCACAGTAGTAGTGACACAGTCGTAGTGGTAGTGACACAGTAGTAGTAGTGACACAGTAGTAGTAGTAGTGACGCAATAGTAGTAGTGACAACGACCACCACAACGCTTGTGCCAGGCTAGGTGCACCAGGAGGAGGTCATTTGACAGACCCAGCAGCCTGTATTTCATGTGCCCCCTACTGTGCCAACTCACTTCGTTTTTGCTACCCAGTGCTCCTCACCACCTCACCACCACCTCCTCACCACCTCTTCACCACCACCTCACCATATCCTCACCACCTCCTCCTCACCACCTCCTCTTCCTCACCAGCACCACCTCAACAGCACCTCTTGACCACCTCCTCACCACCACCTCACCACCTCCCCCTCTCTCTCCCCCCTCTCACCCCCCTCTCCCCCTCTCTCCCCACAGCCGCCGCTCTCTCCCCACTGCACGAGACCCAACAGCAGCAGCAGCAGCGACACAGACAACACAAACAGCACAAACAACAACAGGCAGAGACCCCCCTCCCTGCCGGTCGTCGTGGCTACGGGAGGGACGCCCTGCCTCTCCCTCCTTCTCCTCCCTCCGCCTCTCCCTCCCCCTCCTTCTCCCTGCTTCCCCTGGTAGCCTCTACCTCCGGCCCCCCTCCTCCCCCTCCTCCTCCTCCACCTCCTCCCCCACCTCCTCCTGCTCAAGCAGCGCCCACTCTGCTGCCCACCTCGTCACGGATCGGACAACCTGCGGCTCCAACTCGCTACGCAGGTACGGGACAGGTTCACGATGGCCGTGTCGCTGGGTTCACGGCGGTCGTGTGGCTGGGTTCACGGTCGTGTGGCTGGGTTCACGATGGTCGTGTCGCTGGGTTCACGGCGGCCGTGTCGCTGGGCTCACGGTCGTGTGGCTGGGCTCACGGTGGTCGTGTGGCTGGGTTCACGGTGGCCGTGTGGCTGGGTTCACGGTGGCCGTGTGGCTGGGTTCACGGTGGCCGTGTGGCTAGGTTCACGGTGGCCGTGTCGCTGGGTTCACGGTGGCCGTGTCGCTGGGCTCACGGTCGTGTGGCTGGGTTCACGGTGGTCGTGTGGCTGGGTTCACGGTGGTCGTGTGGCTGGGTTCACGGTGGCCGTGTCGCTGGGTTCATGGCGGCCGTGTCGCTGGGTTCACGATGGCCGTGTGGCTGGGTTCACGGTGGTCGTGTGGCTGGGTTCACAGTGGCCGTGTCGCTGGGTTCACGGGGGCCCTGTCGCTGGGTTCACGGTGGCCGTGTCGCTGGGTTCACGATGGCCGTGTCGCTGGGTTCACGGTTTCCGTGTGGCTGGGTTCACGGTGGCCGTGTCGCTGGGTTCACGGTGGCCATGTAGCTGGGTTCACGGTGGTCGTGTGGCTGGGTTCACGGCGGCCGTGTCGCTGGGTTCACGGTGGCCCTGTCGCTGGGTTCACGGTGGCCATTTGGCTGGGTCCACGGTGGCCCTGTCGCTGGGTTCACGGCGGCCGTGTGGCTGGGTTCACGGTGGCCGTGTCGTTGGGTTCACAGCGGCCATGTGGCTGGGTTCACGGCGGTCGTGTGGCTGGGTTCACGGTCGTGTGGCTGGGTTCACGGTGGTCGTGTCGCTGGGTTCACGGCGGCCGTGTCGCTGGGCTCACGGTCGTGTGGCTGGGCTCACGGTGGTCGTGTGGCTGGGTTCACGGTGGCCGTGTGGCTGGGTTCACGGTGGCCGTGTGGCTGGGTTCACGGTGGCCGTGTGGCTAGGTTCACGGTGGCCGTGTCGCTGGGTTCACGGTGGCCGTGTCGCTGGGCTCACGGTCGTGTGGCTGGGTTCACGGTGGTCGTGTGGCTGGGTTCACGGTGGTCGTGTGGCCTGGTTCACGGTGGCCGTGTCGCTGGGTTCATGGCGGCCGTGTCGCTGGGTTCACGATGGCCGTGTGGCTGGGTTCACGGTGGTCGTGTGGCTGGGTTCACGGTGGCCGTGTCGCTGGGTTCATGGCGGCCCTGTCGCTGGGTTCACGGTGGCCGTGTCGCTGGGTTCACGATGGCCGTGTCGCTGGGTTCACGGTTTCCGTGTGGCTGGGTTCACGGTGGCCGTGTCGCTGGGTTCACGGGGGCCATGTAGCTGGGTTCACGGTGGTCGTGTGGCTGGGTTCACGGCGGCCGTGTCGCTGGGTTCACGGTGGCCCTGTCGCTGGGTTCACGGTGGCCATTTGGCTGGGTTCACGGTGGCCCTGTCGCTGGGTTCACGGCGGCCGTGTGGCTGGGTTCACGGTGGCCGTGTCGTTGGGTTCACAGCGGCCATGTGGCTGGGTTCACGCTGGCCCTGTCGCTGGGTTCACGGTGGCCATGTGGCTGGGTTCACGATGGCCGTGTGGCTGGGTTCACGGTGGCCGTGTCGTTGGGTTCACAGCGGCCATGTGGCTGGGTTCACGCTGGCCCTGTCGCTGGGTTCACGGTGGCCATGTGGCTGGGTTCACGATGGCCATGTGGCTGGGTTCACGGTGGCCATGTGGCTGGGTTCACGATGGCCGTGTCGCTGGGTTCACGGTGGCTGTGTCATTCTTTCTCTCTCTCTGTGTAGGGAGCCAGAAGTCATCGAAATACAACCCTGGCCACAGGACCATTCCAGATAAATCCAGCTACACACACGGTGAGTCTGTGGGTCTCTGTGTGGTGAGTCTATGCGTCTGTGTGGTGAGTCTTTGGGTCTCTGTGTGGTGAGTCTATGGGTCTTTTGTTGAGTCTATGAGTGTCTGTGTGGTGAGTCTATGGGCGTCTGTGTGGTGAGTCTATGGGTCTGTGTGGGCATCTGTGTGGTGAGTCTATGGGTCTCTGTGTTGTCTGTGGGTCTGATGAGTGGGTGGGTGGGTGAGTCGGTGGGTGAGTTGAATCCATGGGTCTTCTCTGCATGGTGAGTCCAGGCCTCGTGGAGGAGGAGGAGGTGGATGATCAGGAGGAGGAGGAGTACCTGGAGATCCTCACCAACGAGATTCTGGTCAAGGCTCCCCCTCTGGGCTCCAAGGGGACTCAACAGGACTCTGCTGTCTACCAACTCCCACAGAAGATGGTGAGGTCATCGTCGTCGTTCGCATCATCCTCAAATAATATCGGCATCGGCTAATAGCAGCAGCTGTTATGAGATAGGGAACCGGTTCCCATAGGATTGTCTATGGGCCATGTTAAGAGATAGGGAGCCGGTTCCCATAGGAAGTCTATGGGTCATGTTAAGAGATAGGGAGCCGGTTCCCATAGGAAGTCTATGGGTCATGTTAAGAGATAGGGAACCGGTTCCCATAGGAAGTCTATGGGTCATGTTAAGAGATAGGGAACCGGTTCCCATAGGAAGTCAATGGGCTATGTTAAGAGATAGGGAACCGGTTCCCTATCTCTTAACATGGGACAGTGTTAGGAGATAGGGAACCGGTTCCCATAGGAAGTGTATGGGCTATGTTAAGAGATAGGGAACAGGTTCTCTATCTCTTAACATGGGACAGTGTTAAGAGATAGGGAACCGGTTCCCATAGGAAATCTATGGGTCATGTGAAGAGATAGGGAATCTGAGAATCCAACTCCCCCCCCACCCCATAGATGCGTGGTGGGCGTCAGCACGGTGGCGAGGGCGGCGGTGAGGATGACGACGACGATGGTGAGGATGAGGGGGAGGGGCTGGTGAACCGCGGGGCCCTGGTCGGACTCCTGGCGGGGGCTTCGATCGTCGCGGCCGCCATCGTCCTGTCGCTGGCCGTGCTGCGGCGCAAGCAGCAGCAGCAGCACGCCAGCATCAGCCACGGCGTCGTAGAGGTGGGTGTGTGTGGGTGAGTGGGTGTGTGGGTGGGTGAGTGGGTGTGTCCGTCCCCCTACTTCCTTGCGGTGCCGGACGGGCAACTCTGTCGTTGACAGTGCTGTGGGGGGAGGGCCAATTCCGATTGGCTCCTCCCCTCATGGCGTCTCTGTCCACCACAGTGGCTAAACGGGGGCTCTGGACGGGTGGGAGGGGCCGGTAACCTCTCCACCTTCAATTAATTACCACTAAACTACGAATGAAATATGTAACTAATAAGCTTGTGCCGGAGGCCCCGGGGGACAGGCGTCTATGACGTCTCCTGGCCAAACCCCAATTGGCGGAGCCAGGAGATTGAATCTCTACCCTCGGGGCTCCTCCAGAAACAACGAAAAGCCACTACGGATGGCCACGTGGAATGTTCGAACGCTCACTGCAGAGGAGAGGCTGCCACTTCTCTGTCGGGAGCTGGACCGGTACAGCCTGGATGATCTCTGTGGAATTCAGGAGGTCCGGTGGACCGGTTCTGGCTCGTGCCACCATGAGGGATGGACAATCCTCTGCTCGGGGCAGCAGACTGCCAAACAACAGGGTGTGGCCCTTCTTTTGAACAAAAGAATGGAGGGGGTGTGGGAGCGTGGCTGTGAGGTGTGGGAAGCTGTAAGCCCTAGGCTACTTTGGGCTCGACTTCCCATCAACCGGAGGCGAGGAGTGGTGGTCATGGTTACTTATGCCCCCACCGAAGACGAACATCCGTGGAGGGATGCAGGCAAAGCCGATGAGTCAGATGCCTTCTATGACCTCCTGTCACAGGTGCTGGCTAAAGTGGCCCCTCGGGATAGAGTTATCTTGTTGGGTGGCTTCAATGCCCGAATTGGTCATGATGCTGGCACCTGGTCTGGAGTGATTGGAGGGCATGGGCCACTTCAGCTCAATAATAACGGTAGGAGGCTGCTAGATTTTTGTGCAGCCCATGGGCTTGTAATTACCAACACGCTGTTCCGGCATCGGCGCATCCACACAACATCATGGATGCATGCCGGGTCCAAGCAAGAACATCTGCTGGACTACATAGTGATGGACCAGTGGATGCGAGCCCATGTCCATGACACCAGGACCTACCGTGGAGCTGATCTGCCCTCTGACCATCGATTAGTCATCTGTAAGATGCGCCTGCCATTCTTCCACTCCCGTGGTGGGTGTAGGCCCAGGACCCCATTCCAACCTAAAGTGGCCTGGTCTCAGTTATCTGATGAAAGTTGCAAGCGAAAATTTCATCATCGCTTGCGGCTGGCGTTGGCATTGTCCCCCACTCCTCCTGATGTCGAGGGAAAATGGGCGAGGTTTAGGACTGTGACTCATGCAGCTGCAATGACTGCTTTGGGTACGCGGTCCAGACCTCTCCAGAGACCCTGGCTGACAGAGGAGGTGTTCAGGACGGTTGAGAAAAAGCGACAGGCCCACTGTCATCGGCTACAGAATCCCACGTCAGAGCATGAGGAGGCTTACCGCAGCCTTCGCTCGGAGGTTCGGAGAGCCGTGAGGCGCTGCAAGGATGGGTGGTGGTCGCGGGTTTCTGAGGAGATGGAGTCTGCCTCAGTGGCCCGCAATCACAAATCTCTATTTAACTCCATCAAAAAAGTAACCTGCAGCGCCACACCTATTACCATCATTAGGGGAAAACACGGTGCTTCAATCTCCGACCCCCAGGAACAGATTTGCAGATTTGCTGAGCCTTTCTGTGAGGTCCTGGGGGAGGGAAAATCCCTCAGCCAGGAAAACACCGTGGCACAAAGTGAGGATGACCCTGCTGAGGCTGCGGTGCCTAAAATATTTGAAGAAGTCATTCCCTGTGAGTAGCTGGCTGAAGTGCCATCTGTTGAGGAAGTACTGAAGGCGATCCGGAGTCTGAGACCAGGAAAGGCAGCGGGCAGAGATGATCTCCCAAGCGAAATGCTGAAGGAGGGTGGCGTTTGTGCACAGACTGCCCTACATGACATCATGACAACAGTCTGAACCACCAGACTGTAACAACTACAGGGGCATCTCACTCCTCAGTGTTCCGGGAAAGGTCCTGGCAAGGATTATTCAACATCGCCTCGCCAGGCACGCTGAGGAGAGGCATGCGGAGCCCCAATGCGGTTTCAGGAAAGGGCGGTCCTGCACAGATGACATATGTTCTGTCCGTCTGCTACAGCAGAGGTGTAGGGAATTCCAACAAGACCTACGTCTCTGCTTTATTGTCCTGGTCAAGGCCTATGATACCATCAGTAGGCCTGGGCTCTGGGTTCTTCGTGCTTTTGGAGTCCCTGACCCTCTGCTCATGATCATTAAGGACCTTCATGATGGTGAGCCGGCCCCGGTCAAACTACGTGGCCGGGAGTCAGCCATTCCCTGTACACCTTGAGATGCGACAGGGATGTCCTCTGGTTCCCACATTATTTAACATCTATTTTGACCACGTAGTTCGTGACGCCTTCAATAGCTGTAACGGGGGAATCTCCATTTGGTACAGATATAATGGGAGGCTGATCGATGCCCGGGTGCGGTCAAGGGATGGCTCCCTATTGCTCAACCACGTTTTGTATGCCGATGATTTGGTAATAGCTGCTCATTCAGAGGAGGAGTTGGAGACGCTGCTGCTGAGACTGAAGCGTGCCACTAAGAGATGGGGCCTTACCATCAGCCCCACCAAAACTAAGCACCTGTCTGGGTATTTTGTATCATCGGACACTCCACCCCCACAACTCCCAATCGGTGATGGGGCAGTTGTGGAGAGAGTGGAGAGTTTTCCATACCTGGGCAGTGTGATTATGACCGGCTCCAGTTTAACAGCAGAGTTCTCACTCCAAATCAGTCGAGCGGCAATATCTTTTCATCGGTTGCGTAACGCTGTGTGGAAGCTACCTGGTCTGTCGCTCCGCACTAAGCTTAAGGTCTTCTCGGCCACGGTCATTCCCTCCCTTCTCTACGCTTGCGAAACGTAGACCCCCCTAATGGAACATCTTCGCCGGTTAGAAACATTTAGGCTAGCCTGCCTACGATCCATCTTGGGTTTAATCAGGCTGGATTGTGTGAGGAGCTCACAAATCCTGAAAGATATAGACAAGGTCCCATCTGTGAGCTCCTCTGGCAGGCAAGGCTGTGTTGGCTAGGTAATGTAACCCGCATGCCCAGCCACTGCATGCCTAGGCAGCTTTTGTTCGGCCGGATCAAGGGGGCTGGGTGGGCGCATCAAGGGCTAGAGAAGATTTGGAGTGATGTGGTACAGGAGGACGTGGAGCTGAGTGGACTTGCCAATGACTGGTACCAGCAGTGTCAAGATCGGCCTCTGTAGAGGTGGCTCGTGAAGGACGCTACTGGGCAGTTGGAGGCAGTCGCCCTCCAACAACAACAGAGGGCGGAGGAGCGACGCTCACAACAGTGAGCGGAGCGCCGGGTGGCTAAAGCACAGCAGGTTGGCACAGTAGGGGGCACAGGTGGTGCATCAGCCAGTCATCTTAGTCGACCCGTGGCACTTGGGTCTGCCCCGTGACCTCCTGCCAGCGGGCGTTCAACACTTCACATGGCCTCAAGGTGCACATGGCCTGGCACAAGCGTCGTGGTGACGTCACCGTCACTTAGTGGCGAATGGCGGTTGTTGTGTGGGTGTGTGGGTGAGTGAGTGTGTGGGCGAGTGAGTGTGTGTGTGGATGAGTGGGTGGGTGAGTTGGTGGGTGTTTGGGTCAGTGAATGGGTGGGTGGTTACGTAGGTGGGTGGGTGCGTGGGTGGGTGGATGAGTGGATGAGTAACTGAGTGGGTAAGTGGGTGGGTGGTTTGGTTGGTTGATGAGTGAGTGGGTGGGTGTGTGGGTTGGTGGGTGGGTGAGTAACTGGGGTGGGTAGATGAGTGGGTGGGTGGATGAGTGTGAGTGGAGTGAGTGAGTGGATGAGTGAATGGGTGGGTGTGTTTTGTGGGTGTGGGTGAGTGGGTGGTTGTGTTGGTGGGTGGGTGTGTTGATGGGTGGGTGTGTGGGTGGGTGAGCAGCACACCACAATCAGCCACGGTGTTATGGAGCAGCAGATGGTGAGGAAGTGGTGAGGAGGAGGTAGTGAGGAAGAGCACTGGGCAGCTAAAACAAAGCCAGTTGGCATAGTAGGGGGCATATGTGATGAATCTGTACCAAGCCTGGCACAGCAGTTCAACCCATGGCACCGACTGGGTCTTTCCCGTGACCTCCTCCTGGTGCACCTAGCTTGGCACGGGCGCCGTGGCGACGTCATTGTCACTTAGTGGCGAATAGCGGCAGTTGTTATTTGGGAGTGGTAGGGCAGCGGTTAGCACCCTGGCGCATTAATTATTAAATTTATTGCTACGCTGCTGCTCGTTAACAGCACTTGCCCCAGCGACCTGTTTGAAGGCTACACGGGGGAACTTTGTTTTTGAGGGGTTGTGATGATGATGATGGTGGTGGTGGTGGTGATGATAGTGGTGGTGACGGTGGTGACGGTGGTGATGATGGTGACGGTGGTGGGGATGGTATTGACGGTAGTGATGATGGTCATGGTGGTGATGGTGGTGATGGTGGTGGGGATGGTATTGACGGTAGTGATGATGGTCATGGTGGTGATGGTGCAGGTTGATGCTGCTCTAAGCCCAGAAGAGCGCCATCTGAACAAGATGCAGCAGAATGGATACGAGAATCCAACGTACAAGTACTTCGAGCAGATGCACATCTAGTGCTGAGGCTACACTACAGTATACCCTACACTACTGTACACCACACTATACACTACAGTACTATACACTATGCTACTATACACTACTATACACTATGCTACTATACACTACACTACGCTACTGTACACTACACTATACACTACGCTACTATACACTACTCTACCGTACACTACTATGCACAACTATACACTGCACTATACACTAAACTATACACCACTACTACTACACGATACACTACACTAAACTATACACGACGCTATGCAGCACTACTATACACTACACTATACACTACTACATACTTCAACTACCACACACTACTCTACTATAGACTACTGTACTATACACTACTCTGCTATAGACTACACTACTATGCGCTGCTACACACTACACTACTATACACCACACTAAACACTACACACCACACTAAACACTACACACTGCTATACACTCCATACGACACTGCGCTAGACATTCCCCACTATAGATACTCCCCCCGCACACCCCACTCTATATAAATATAAACTCTGTCCACATCGCCCTCTCTCTCGCTCGGTGTCACATCCACGGTTTTAGTGGTCCACGGTGAGTGTCTACATAGTGGTGAGCTGGTGAGAGTCTACACAGTGGTGAGCTGGTGAGAGTCTACACAGTGGTCCATGGTGAGAGTCTACACAGTGGTGAGCTGGTGAGAGTCTACACAGTGGTGAGCTGGTGAGAGTCTACACAGTGGTGAGGTGGTGAGTCTACACAGTGGTGAGTGTCTACACAGTGGTGAGAGTCTACACAGTGGTGAGCTGGTGAGTCGTCACAGTGGTGAGTGTCTACACAGTGGTGAGGTGGTGAGTGTCTACACAGTGGTGAGCTGGTGAGAGTCTACACAGTGGTGAACTGGTGAGAGTCTACACAGTGGTGAGCTGGTGAGAGTCTGCACAGTGGTGAGCTGGTGAGAGTCTACACAGTGGTGAGCTGGTGAGAGTCTACACAGTGGTGAGCTGGTGAGAGTCTACACTGTGGTGAGGTGGTGAGAGTACACAGTGGTGAGGTGGTGAGAGTCTACACAGTGGTGAGTGTCTACACAGTGGTGAGGTGGTGAGAGTCTACACAGTGGTGAGGTGGTGAGTCTACACAGTGGTGAGCGTCTACACAGTGGTGAGAGTCTTCAAAGTGGTGAGGTGATGAGTCTACACAGTGGTGAGTGTCTACACAGTGGTGAGGTGGTGAGTCTACACAGTGGTGAGGTGGCGAGTCTACACAGTGGTGATAACACATTGGTGAGAGTCTAGACAATGGTGTCTGCACACTATTCATCTCACCTGGCTAGATGAATAGTGAATCTCAGTGGGGTCGCTCTCACCTGGCTAGATGAATAGTGAATCTCAGTGGGGTAGCTCTCACCTGGCTATATGAATAGTGAATATCATTGGAGTGGCTCTCACCTGGCTAGATGAATAGTGAATCTCAGTGGAGTGGCTCTCACCTGGCTAGATGAATAGTGAATCTCAGTGGGGTCGCTCTCACCTGGCTATATGAATAGTGAATCTCAGGGGGGGTTAGCTCTCACCTGGCTAGATGAATAGTGAATCTCACTGGGGTCGCTCTCACCTGGCTATATGAATAGTGAATCTCAGGGGGGGTTAGCTCTCACCTGGCTAGATGAATAGTGAATCTCAGTGGGGTAGCTCTCACGTGGCTAGATGAATAGTGAATCTCAGTAGAGTGGCTCTCACCTGGCTAGATGAAGTGAATCTCAGTGGGGTAGCTCTCACCTGGCTATATGAATAGTGAATCTCAGTGGGGTAGCTCTCACGTGGCTAGATGAATAGTGAATCTCACTGGGGTCACTCTCACCTGGCTAGATGAATAGTGAATCTCAGTGGGGTAGCTCTCACCTGGCTATATGAATAGTGAATCTCAGTGGGGTAGCTCTCACGTGGCTAGATGAATAGTGAATCTCAGTGGGGTAGCTCTCACCTGGCTAGATCAATAGTGAATCTCAGTGGGGTAGCTCTCACGTGGCTAGATGAATAGTGAATCTCAGTGGGGTAGCTCTCACCTGGCTATATGAATAGTGAATCTCAGTGGGGTAGCTCTCACGTGGCTAGATGAATAGTGAATCTCAGTGGGGTAGCTCTCACCTGGCTAGATCAATAGTGAATCTCAGTGGGGTAGCTCTCACGTGGCTAGATGAATAGTGAATCTCACTGGGGTCGCTCTCACCTGGCTATATGAATAGTGAATCTCAGTGGGGTAGCTCTCACCTGGCTAGATGAATAGTGAATCTCAACGGGGTCACTCTCACCTGGCTATATGAATAGTGAATCTCAGTGGGGTCGCTCTCACCTGGCTAGATGAAGTGAATCTCAGTGGGGTAGCTCTCACCTGGCTAGATGAATAGTGAATCTCAGTGGGGTAGCTCTCACCTGGCTATATGAATAGTGAATCTCAGTGGGGTAGCTCTCACCTGGCTAGATGAATAGTGAATCTCAACGGGGTCACTCTCACCTGGCTATATAAATAGTGAATCTCAGTGGGGTAGCTCTCACCTGGCTAGATGAATAGTGAATCTCAACGGGGTCGCTCTCATTTAACTATATGAATAGTGAATATCAATTGCGTGGCTCTCACCTGGCTAGATGAATAGTGAATGAATAGTTAATGACACTGCTTTATTTATTTGCGTTGTTCACTGCTCTGTCGGTGTCACTAACCGCCCTGCTCACTCTAGCCGTCCATGTGGTTTTTTTATATATAAATTAAAATGAGGCGAGAAAAAGAATGACACGCACACGCGTGTTCACGGGCACACGCGTGTTCACGGGCACACATACACCTGCGCACGCGTACGAGTGTGTGTACATGTGTGTGTACGTGTGTGTGTACCTATGCTATCACCTGTGTATATGTGCTGTTAACTTGTAACCATGATGTTAGACGTTGTCGTTAGGTGATGGTCATGATGATGATTGCGCTGATCGTGACGGTAATTTTGATGATGATTATGGGCATGACGGGAAGAGATTGCATCCTGAGAGTGGTCAGATGGTCTCTAGAGCCCGGGTCTGTAGACCATGACTGTCTAGACTGCGAGTCTCTAGACCATGACTCTCTAGAGCCCGAGTCTTGTGACCATGACTCTCTAGAGCCCGAGTCTCTAGACCATGCCTCTCTAGAGCCCGAGTCTTGTGACCATGACTCTCTAGAGCCCGAGTCTCTAGACCATGACTCTCTAGAGCCCGAGTCTCTAGACCATGACTCTCTAGAGCCTGAGTCTCTAGACCATGACTCTCTAGAGCCCGAGTCTTGTGACCATGACTCTCTAGAGCCCGAGTCTCTAGACCATGCCTCTCTAGAGCCCGAGTCTCTAGACCATGACTCTAGATCCCGAGTCTCTAGACCATGACTCTCTAGAGCCTGAGTCTCTAAACCATGACTCTCTAGAGCCCGAGTCTCTAGACCATGACTCTCTAGAGCCCGAGTCTCTAGACCATGACTCTCTAGAGCCCGAGTCTCTAGACCATGACTCTCTAGAGCCCGAGTCTCTAGACCATGACTCTCTAGAGCCCGAGTCTCTAGACCATGACTCTCTAGAGCCCGAGTCTCTAGACCATGACTCTCTAGAGCCCGAGTCTCTAGACCATGACTCTCTAGAGCCCGAGTCTCTAGACCATGACTCTCTAGAGCCCGAGTCTCTAGACCATGACTCTCTAGAGCCCGAGTCTCTAGACCATGACTCTCTAGACCCCGAGTCTCTAGACCATGACTCTCAAGAGCCCGAGTCTCTAAACCATGACTCTCTAGAGCCCGAGTCTCTAGACCATGACTTTCTAGAGCCCGAGTCTCTAGACCACGACTCGCTAGAGCCCGAGTCTCTAGACCATGACTCTCTAGAGCCCGAGTCTCTAGACCATGACTCTCTAGAGCCCGAGTCTCTAGACCATGACTCTCTAGAGCCCGAGTCTTTAGACCATGACTCTCTAGAGCCTGAGTCTCTAGACCATGACTCTCTAGAGCCCGAGTCTATAGACCATGACTCTCTAGAGCCCGAGTCTCTAGACCATGACTCTCTAGAGCCCGAGTCTCTAGACCATGACTCTAGATCCCGAGTCTCTAGACCATGACTCTCTAGAGCCCGAGTCTCTAGACCATGACTCTCTAGAGCCTGAGTCTCTAGACCATGACTCTCTCTAGAGCCCGAGTCTCTAGACCATGACTCTCTAGAGCCCGAGTCTCTAGACCATGACTCTCTCTAGAGCCCGAGTCTCTAGACCAGTGGTTCTTAATCTTTACTGCAGCCTTGCTTCCCTTTGGTTCCCAATCGTCAAACGTTAATACATAAAGATGTTTGATGAAACAAAGTAGTTGTACTTACGTGCCTGTGCTTAATTTATTTTCTATTATTTACCTTCTAAACAAATCTGGCCATGTCTTGCAGCCCATGTTAAGAACCACTGCTCTAGACCATGACTCGACTGTGACTCTCTAGACCATGACTCTCTAGACCAGGGGTGGGGAGCCTTTTTTCTGCCAAGGGGCATTGGAAATTTATAACATCATTCGTGGGCCACACAAAATTATCAACTTAAAAATTAGCCCGTTATATTTGGTTAAACATTTAATTAACTCACCCCTAATGCGATGGCTGGAACTGCTTCTCTTTGGTGAGACATGTGATGTTAGCTAGTATTGATCATGTTGCTACTCGCAACTGCTTTTTTCAGGTTTGCTCCTAGATTTATTGAATTTTGAGTCCCGCCTGCAGTTGCCTTGGCAGGGCCAGACTAAATGATTTTGCGGGCCTTATACGGCCCGCAGGCCGGACGTTCCCCACCCCTGCTCTCGACCATGACTCTCAACCCCCGGGTCTCTAGACCCCTGGGTCTGTAGATCCCCGGGTCCGTGATGTGTGCTGGGTGTGTGTGTGTATTGAGTTTAGTACTCGAGTGAGTATTCTGCATATACTGCATGTAATTAGCGCTACTGGTTGGTAAAAGATGTTGCGAAATTAGGATTGTAGGTGGAGGAGGAATTGGAGGATGAGGTGGAGGAATAATAGGAGGTGGTGGAGGAATAGGAGGTTCGAGTAGAGTCTTCGTCGTTTAAACCTCACCGAGTCCCCTTCACAACCACGACACAGACCGGGCGGTCGCGAGTGAACCTACGGGAGGGGAGGGATGGCGGGTCTGCATGGGATGATGAGGTCGAGGGATCTGGAGGTGATTAGCTAGATGGGGTGGTTAGGTAGTTGTGAAGTAGAGTGGTAAGATAGTGGCGAGGTGGACGGAGTGGCGAGGTAGACGGAGTGGCGAGGTAGACGGAGTGGCGAGGTAGACGGAGTGGCGAGGTAGACGGAGTGGCGAGGTAGACGGAGTGGTGAGGTACACAGTGGTGAGGTTTCACGATGAGTCTGTGCAGCCCCCGCTAGAGTTCCCTTGCTAGGTTTTAGACGGAACTCTGTGACCACGAGAGCTCGTTATTTAAAATAAAATAAAGATTTACAAACGTTCACGGACGTCGCGATGTGGACCAATAAAGGATCCAGACTCTGGTGGACGTCTGTGGTGGTGAGTCCTTCTCTACGCTTATGAATCGTGGACCCCTCTGGTGGAACATTGGTGCCGGTTTGATACATTCAGGCTGGCCCTGCCTACGATCCATCTCCTGGGTGTTAACCTGACACATTCCCATCGGCAAGCTGCTCCAGCAGGCGAGGCTGCGTTGGCTGGGTCACGTAGCCCGCACATGCCCAGCCACTGCATGCCCAAGCAGCTTCTGTATGGCCCGCATAGAGGGGGATGAATGGGCACGACACAGGCTGGAGAAGAGACGTAGCTGATGCGTTATGGGAGGATGTGAAGCCGAGTGGACTTGTCGACGACCGGTGCCAACGGTATCAAGATCGGTCTCTGGAGGGGCCTCGTGAAGGACGCTGCTGCCACGCATAGCTTGTAATGTGGGCTCCCACAAGGGGGAGTGGCAGTTGCCCTGCAGCAACAACAGCAAGCGGAGCATCGGGTAGCTAAAATGCAGCAAGTTGGCACAGTAGGTGGGTTACATGTGATCGTGCATCTGCATTCATCTAAGTGAGCCAACCCATGGCACCTGCTGGATATGTCCCAAGACATCATGTCGGCGAGCCTTCGACACTTCAGGTGGCCTCAAAGTGCGCCTGGCGCAGGCGCCATGTTGACATCACCGTAACTTAGTGGGGAATGGCGGTTGTTGGTATTGGTGGGTGAGAGGGCGGATGGGTCGCCACCTTGCCGTGGCGGAATCCCAGAAAACAACCTCCGACCTCCCCGGTGGGGCAGGACTATAACACTGTGGTCAATGCGAGCATTTCCATTGGACCGGCCAATTCCATTCGGCTTTTCCCGTTGTGGCACTTGTAGCCACCGCAGCGGCCAGTGTGTGCTCTGGATGGGTGCAAAGGGCTGGTAACCCCTCCACCTTCAATACAAGTGCAGTGACATCGGGAATGTCACTGTATGGTGCCCGCCTGAGAGGGCCATGGCGCGCGTTGCACTGTCATCACGTACACCCCATAGGCAGGTGTAGTACCAGCCCTAGCGGTGCTTGGTGTGCGCTGGGATAGCGCGGGCACCACGCATAGCTTGTAATGCGGGCTCCCACAAGGGGGAGTGGGAGAGTGTCAGCCCAGGGGCAGGGTTGCCATGGGCCATTGCACTCTGGTTGACCCCGTAGACACGTGATCCGGAGTGTCCACAAAGAGGCCCCCCAGGTGGGGGGAGGGGGGGGCTAGGGGGAAATCACGTGTCTGGGGAGAGCTCTCAAGAGGGATCGAGAGAGAGCTAAAACGCTCGAAGGCGGGCGGGCCAAGGGCGGAGCAGCCCCGACCCAGGGGGATATAAGGTGGGTGCCTGAGAGGGACCGGGTCGCTGCATTCTACAAGCTGAAGCTCTACGTCCTACAAGCTGGAAGCTCTACAGGCATCAACACGTGGCCGGGACCCTAGTGAGGGTCAGACCCTTCGTAGCTGTAACTCCGTATCGGGTAGTTAGCTGGGTGGCCACCATCCTAGGCTGTATCTGGTGAAGGGGCAGTTACCTCTTTGTATTATGTGTTGATGTTACAAATCAATGTGTTGCCTCTAAAGAACGTCTGCGGCTCAGTTGGACTCACGACATAAGTACCACTAAAATATGTGTTAAAAATCTAACTTAAGATTGTGCTTGAGGCCCCAGGGGGATAGGCGTTCTAATGTCTCCTGGCCAAACCCCATTTGGCGGAGCCAAGAGACTGAATCCTACACCCTCGGGGTTACTCCAGAAACAGAAAAGAATGATTGCGGGTGACCACGTGGAATGTTTGAACACTCACTGCGGAGGAGAGGCTGCCACGTCTCTTTCTGGAGCTGGACCAGTACAGTTTGGTGGACGGACTCTGCCACCATGAGGGGTGGACAGTCCTCTACTCAGGGCAGGAGACTGCCAAACAACAGGGAGTGGCTCTTCTGAACAAAATAATGAAGGGAGCTTGGCAGTGAGTTGTGGGAAGGTGTAAGCCCCAGGCTACTCTGTGGGCTTGCCTTCCCATCAACGAGAGGTGAGGAGTGGTGGTCGTGGTTACTTACATCCCCACCAAAGATCAACATCAGTGGAAGGATGCAAGCAAGGCCAATGAGTCAGATGCCTTCTATGATCACCAATCACAGGTGCGAGCTAAAGTGGCCCCTTGGGATACAGTCATTGTGTTGGGTGACTTTAATGCCCAAGTTGGTCATGATGATGGCACCTGGTCTGGAGTGATTGGAAGGAATGGGCCAGATCAGCTCAACAATGGTAGGAGGCTGCTCGATTTTTGTGCAGCCCATGGGCTTGTAATTACCAACACGCTGTTCTGGCATCGGCGCATTCAAACATCATCATGGATGCACACTGGGTCCAAGCAAGACATCTGCTGGATGATATAGTGATGGAACAGCAGATGCGGGTCCATGTCCTTGGCACCAACTGACCATCGGCTTGTCATCTGTAAGATGCGCCTGCCATTCCTCCACTCCGGTGGTGGGTGAACATCCAGGACCCTATTCAAAGCAACAGTGGCTTGGTTTCAGCTATCTAGTGAAAGTTTCAAGCATGACTTTCATAATCGCAGCTGGGGTTGGCATCGTCCCCCAATTCTGTTGTCGAGGGGAAATGGGAGAGGTTTAGGACTGGCTCATGCAGCTGCAATGGCTGCATTGGGTACACGGTCTAGACCTCCGCAGAGACCCTGGCTGACAGACGAAGTGTTCAGGATGGCTGAGAAAAAGTTACAGGCCCACTCACCATCTACAGCATCCCACATCGGAGAATGAGGCGGCTTATCGCAGCCTTCGCTCGGAGGTTCAGAGAGCCGTGCGGCACTGCAAGGATGTGTGGTGGTCACGGGTTACTGAGGAGATGGAGTCTGCTTCAGTAGCCGGCGATCACAAATCACTATAACCCCATCAGAAAATTAACTTGCAGTGCCACACCTATCACCATCATTCGAGGAAAGAAATGTGATCCGATCTCTGACTTCCACGAAGGT